CCCCCCCTCACAAATTATTAAAAAATACCCTGCCGCGAGGCACACTACATCGCCTAATTATCATCTGAAGCCAGCGGTAAGAAATAGACGAGTGAAAAATATGGGCTGGTCTTTATGGAACAAAGGAGAATTTCCACTGTTAATTCACGTTGAGGAAGGGCACTTTAAGGAAACATGTGGAGAACATCCTCACTCACCCTGCTCTTCCCATACATGGATATATAGTTTAGCACATGAGCATTAATTAAGGTAGTAATAGGTATATGGCCCTTTCTATTTTTCGGCACTCGCATGCCTCTTAGAATCACGCCACGTCACAATTTACTGCAGAATCTTAAAATTAGGAATCCTTCAAATTTAATAAATATTAACCGTCTACCTCTTCCAAGCAATCTGTTCTAATATCAAAGTTGCTACTGTCTGCACACCCTCGGTATTGTTTTGCTTAATTCTATATCGCTTTTGTCTAAGATTGAGCTCTCATTGTTAGCCTCGCTGCGCTCAGTGAGCATTTGTTTATACAAGAATACAACTTGCACAGTAAGGATAGATGTGTCGGTCGCGGTGGTACGGTGGTAGTGTGCGTATGTTTACATCAATTGCTATATCCCATTTAAGCGCGGTGCGGACTTTAAATGCCCTGAGTGTGAATCCATGGCTTTGGCTACGCTGCCATCGCTTGACCAGACCTCATCCTGGCATCACCCTATATGTATATAATACCTCCGGAAAATCCAGTCAAGAACAATACGGTTTATGTGACATGGCTGAATCATAATTAACCAGCCCTCAACTTCCCCGACATCTACTCTTATACATCAGCAACTGAAATCTTCTTCCCCCCGAAATACACAAAGTTACATAAATCGAATAAACTGTGGATCACTCGAGGCATCAAATCCCTAATACGGAAACTTCAGAAAGCCTTTAAAGACTAATTTTTACTCTGGATAATCAGCAGCGGATCGGACTCACAGGATTGGAGGTTTTTCCAATCCGGACCGACCCAGCAAGCGATTTTCAGTAAAAGGACAAATGGAATGATCGGATCGGACAAGGAAAAAATGGAGCTCGTTCCAGTCTCACAAATTACTATTTCGCGCTTATTTCAAAACGGTAGCGACTCTCAACAAACGTGACCTTCATCTGATTTTGTTACGTCGTCCCCAGCAAAGGAGAAGCAAAGAAGAAAAATACAAAAAGAGCATTTGGATAAGAAAAATTTTCCAGGAAAGACAATGGAAAAGTAAATACCATTTATTGATAGAAGAGTTAAAGCTACCATGAATATTTTTTCAGCAATTTCGTTTGTTGCCAAGCAAATTAATTTAAAGAGCTGTTGTACTCTCCAATTCTTGTAAATTCTCCCTCGAATTCCAAAAAAAATCACCTAAATTATCCTCCACTTTGTAAATTTTATACAGGTATTATTTAATTATTTTAATTTATGTGATATAATACGGCATTTTGATTGGTCGCCAGGTTTAATCCGCGGACCGGACAAAAAAAGTTGAAAATAGTTCAACTTTTTTTATTATCCGGCCTACAACGTCGCCGGATCAAGCAGAACCATACATTTATACTGATGGCGCATGCGCTGATTTTGTTCCGATCCGGTCCGATCCGCTGCTTATTTCCGGGGTGGAAATTAGCCTTAACTCTACAGACTCCACCCTGTGGAGGCACTATAAGAACAATTTAATTTGAAGTTAGAAATTGCCAAAATTAAGAAATCGTTCTATAACAACAAGGTAAAACAGCTTAAGAACGAAGACTGCACGAAGTGGTGGCGCTTTGTAAACAGGTTATCTGGTAAATTAATCTAACAAACCACAACCTTTCACTATTGAAAAGAACGAAAGGAAATCTGTCTTGACCGACTTTGAGCTTGCTAAACATTTGAATAAATTTTCACTTTCTGTTAACGTATATATATTCCCTCCGGAGATTAGTAACCTACCAGCATACCTTCCAGTGAAAGAGCCACTCGCAGAGATCTCAGACACTGAAGTTTCTTAGAAACTCTACCAAGATTAACCAGTTTAAAGCAGGTGATCCGGAAGAGATTCCTGCTCGTATTCTTAAAGAATTTGCATTCGAGCACGCTGATCTTGTTGCGCCCATTTTCAATACAACTTTCTCTGAAGGTATCACACCTTGACCTTCGCCGCCTTTCTTAGGTGGAAACGAAGCCAGATAACTGAAGAAAAGTTCAACCAATTTTGGGGGATCTCTCCAATGTCCTTGAGGACTTTATGGAGAACTGATCTAAGTCACAAGATTGATACACAGCAGTTTGGCTGTATAAAAAGCAACTGTACTACCTACTGCAAGCCTACTTGACATGATGCACAATTGACTTATAATTAAATACCTTGACGACCATAGGAAATATCTCCGCGTTTGCTTTCTTCATTTTAGTAAAACTTTCGACAGGATTGATCATATTATTCTTATTACGAAGCTCATTAACTTCGTTGTGAGTAGATTTCTGATCCCTTGGATCTGCAGCTTCCTCTCGGATTGCACGCAGTCTGTTAGAGTTAATGAATTCACCTCTATTCGTGGCGAAATATTGAACAAACATCAGCATCTTCATTATATACAGGGCCGCCCAGAGGTTGGCGGGGGGCCGGGGCAAATTGTTTTTAGGGGGCCCTACCTAAAATAAATTTTCCGGAAAAATTTTTTCCGGATATTATTTTGGCGACCTCCCCCCCCCCCCC